GGCCATGATTTACTAGGGAACAGGGTTACTCTATGTTCAATAAACAAAAACCAACTGCTACCTTTTCTTTTTAACCTGTATGTGCTCAAACACAAAGGGCTCTCCTTCTGCCTTTCTGCTCATGCTGAGGACTGATGTATTCTTTAGCTTCCTGTTTCTTGGTGGCAAGGAGACCAGGAAGGGAGAGTGGGTAGGAGGCGATGTTCCTTCTCTGTTACAGCTTCCATAACAACATGCCACTAACCCATACTTTCTGCACTTTTATCTTCAGGGGTTGTATGTAAACACCCTGACATATCTAGGCAATCTATAAAAACTTGTTGAATCAGCAAAATCAAATCAGTAAACAAGGAATACTTCTACAGCCTCCACAGCCTCATACCTGTGACTCCCTAGCCTTCTCTCTACCCATGGTCAAAGGCTTCATAACACTGTATTCACAAGACTTCAGAATTTGAGGCACGTGGCAGGAGTGGTATCCAGACTGCAAACTGGATGACCTTTAAGTGTCTGATCCTTGCTGAATTCAATTTATCCAAGATAATATATAAAACAAAAGAATTTCACACTCAGTTTCAGATGGCCCTTCTTCAGATTCATGATCTTTTAATGGACCCACAAGTGAACATTCTCCTGATTTTAGTTCTGCAAACAACAGGAGAGAAACAAATTGATACTAATTAGATATAGAAATCTATTTTGAACAAGGATGCTGATTCATGGGATTTTATAGCCTTTTCTTTCTTCATCCAGTTTACAGAATTTGTTTTTCCCCAGAATGCTGCAGTTCGTATTTCCAGACATGGTCAAAATATACCTTTTCTAGAGTTATAGAAATATATAAGTACAGGGACTCACAAATATAACTGGATGACTTGGAATATATGCCAGTGTCACCTTATCTTCCTGTAGTGTAAGAATCCTTTGTCCTACAAGCTTAGAGGTGATCACATTGACCTGACTTGATATGTAACAGAATCCAGTGCAGCTCTAATCCTGATCTTCTGTGTTCTCCAGCAGTTCCCTGTGCTTAAATAAGTAGGTAGCTTTTTCCTGCTGTTGCTGTGTGCCAACTCATTTTGACCCTACAGGACAGAGTAGAACTGCCCCATAGGGTTTCCTAGGCTGTAATCTTTGTGAGAGCAGATCACCAGGTCTTTTCTCCATGGAGCAGCTGGTGGGTTTGAAAGGCTAACCTTTCAGATAGCAGCTGAGCTCTTAACCACTGTGTCACCAAGGCTCCTTAGGTTTTTTTCTAGTGCTAGATAATTGCCCATAGCTTTACTACATGAAAATCAGACACACTAACTTTCGAAAGATTTTTAGCTCATTTTCCTGATCACCTAATGTTAAAATCATAATCCAGATATACCCACTATCTCCTTAAACACTCAGATCTTTTTAGATCAAAGTTCTCTTCTTGAGATCTATAAAAATCTATGTTAAATCCCCTTTAGCCCAGCAAATATGTGACACATCGCTTATTTATCCCAGACCTTCTCTTAGGAGCCTAACTAATCCAAGGGTAGGGTAAGACAAGGCTACAGAGTTTGTATTTCCTCCAAAGGCTTGTTAAATCTGTTAAAACCTCTTTCCCTTTAAAAGCCTCCCTCCCATTCTGATCCCAATTTGAGAGGGGGGCATAGGGGTATAAAACCAATTGCCATCAAGTCGATTCCAACTCATATGGACCCTGTAGGACACAGTACAACTGCTCCAAAGGGATTCCAAGGCTGTAAATCTTTACGGAAGCAGGCTGCCACTTCTTTCTCTCGAGCGGAGGTTATGTAGAAGTGTAAAGATGGGGATTTTCTTTACCTGTTTGTTGAAATATTTCAATACTGTCATGGTTTGAATTATGTCCCCCCCCAAAAAATGTGTGTATCAATTTGACTAGGCCATGATTCCTGGTACTGTGTGATTTTCCCGTATGTTGTAAACCTGCCTCTACGATGTTAATGAGGGAAGATGGGTGGCAGTTGTGTAAGGCAGAACCTGATCTACAAGACTGCATTGTGTCCTGAGGCAATCTTTTGAGATATAAAAGACAGAAGTGAGCAGTGAGACGGGGGACCTCATACCATCAAGAAAGCAGTGCTGGGAGCAGAGCGCGTCCTTTGGACCGGGGTCCCTGCGCCGAGAAGCTCCTAGTCTGGGGGAACACTGATGAGAAGGCCGAGACAGAGAAAGCCTTCCCCTGGAGCTGAGACCTTGAATTTGGACTTTTAGCCTACTTTGATTATGAGGAAATAAACTTGTCTTCATTAAAACCATCCACTTGTGGTGTTTCTGTTATAGCAGCACTAGATGACTAAGACAAGTACCAACTAAATGGCTGAGATAGAAGGACATAAAGACCCAGTCTGTCTCAAAGACCTACCATCTGGCAGAAGGAAAAGGACAATGCTAACAAATAAGGGTGAATAGTTTTTAGGCTGCTATGATGGAAGATTTAACAAAGGACAGTGGGGACACAAAAAGAAGGGGTCAAATCTACCTGGAAATGGAGTATGTCAGTGTTATGGACTGAACTGTGTCCCCCAAAAATTTGTCAACTTGGCTAGGCTATAATTCCTAGTACTGTGTGACTGTCCACCATTTTGTCATTTGATGTGATTTTCCTGTGTGTGGTAAATCCTACCTCTATGATATTAATGAAGCAGGATTAGAGGCTGATATATTAATGAGGCAGGACTCAATCTACAAGATTAGGTTGTATCTTGAGTCAATCTCTTTTGAGATACAAAAGAGAGAAGCGAGCAGAGAGACCGGGGGACCTCACGCCACAAAGAATGAAGAACCAGGAGGGAAGCGCATCCTTTGGGCCCAGAGTCCCTGCGCTGAGAAGTTCCATGACCGGGGGAAAATTGATGACACGGACCTTTCCACAGAGCCAACAGAGAGAGAAAGACTTCCCCTGGAGCTGGCACCCTGAATTTGGACTTCTAGCCTCCTAGACTGTGAGATAATAAATTTCTGTTTGTTAAAGCCATCCACTTGTGGTATTCCTGTTATAGCAGAAGTAGGTAACTACGGTAGTCAGGAAATGCTTCATCAGGTTGGCAACATTTGACCTGAATCTTGAATAAAGAAGTGAAGGTGAAGAAGGGGTCTGAAGACAGGAAGAAGTGAATAAAGAAAGATAGACAGCATGGTATCACAGAAACCAAAAAATGTGAAAATATCAAAGGAGTGGGTAAAAGTTTCAAACGACAAGATTAAGTATGATGAAAGAGTTCATGGGATTTGGGAAATAGGAGGTTATCTCCGACCTGCTTAAGAGCCATTTTGATGGTGTAGTGGGGCACAAGCCTGGCTGCTGTGAATTAAAAAAGGGTGAAAAGAATAAAGAAAAAAAAAAAATTAAGAGTACATGAAAGACAAAAAGTGGTGACAACAACTCCTTAGAACTATTTGCCTCTTCACTTTCAAGCATACTAGTTCAGCTACAATAAGGGCTAGATAGGCATCTTGCTTCTATTAGAAAATGATTCCCCAATTAGAACCAACTAACTTAAAGTTTTTAGACACAATCGACTCTCAGAGAATGCCTATATTCTTACTTAAAATGAATGATACAGAATCAATGTTTCTACAGATTTACTCTGACATCACTAATTTTCCTTTCATGCAGTTCAAAATAAATAACATCTGTAATTGTTTATATAGTAGAAAAGGTGCTTTATTTTACATACCATTGGTACACAGTACATAAAACTGCCTAAAATAAGTTTTTGGAAAACACAAAGACCAAGTCTATTTTGCAATCTACGTCATTACAATTAGATGACTACAATTATTTTAAATACTAATAATCTGTTTATATCCAAAGTTACAAATTATTTTTGTTACAAATGCTGCAACTTTTTTTTTTTAATAAAAGCATCTTTAGTTAGAGTAGACCGTATCTCTAATCAGAACAAATCTTTGCTAGTCTACAAGTCTTCGAAATAATGGATCAACAGTTCTACCTTTCTCTAGATGATTATATTTATGTAATCAGGTTACGGGGTGGAGGTTGACATGCAGTCAGATTATTTCAATTTTTAAAAATTTTCAGATAAAATTGAGTTTATATTCGCCTGATTTATAGTTAAAATTGCCAAAGTGGTTTACTAAAGTGAAGCCAATAAAATATTCTAGAAAACATAATTCTAAGAGCATACAACATCAAAAATATTTTTTACTACATATGTAAATCAAAGTCACAGAGCGCAGGAAGAGGATGTGGCACAAAAGTCTGCTACATCTGAATTTCTTATCCAACTGGAGGAGTAAAGAAAGTAACTTAATGTTAATCCTCTTATGGAACATATATGCATGACATGGCCCACTGCTACACAACAGGATCTTTACTTAGAAAATGTGCAAATCATAAGAAGCTAAACGCACTTCTCTCTTTATTTACCCCCAATCCATTCTATACATGAACACACAGCTCTAAGATCTCTTATTAACTACTAATGTCAAAGCCACAGAGATTTCTCAATGGCATCTTTCAGTTACCAATCATTTTTCGGAGACATAAATGTGATTGGTGCTTAGTGTACAAATACCAAAAAATGACAACAGAATCTGGGCTAATTCTCAAAGTGAAAACATTTATTATTTTAACAAATCCCTTGGTATAGAAAGACTACCCTTCCCTCTGAAAAGTAAGTTATATGTTAGGACCATAGCTTTATATTCACCTCCTGGTCTAGAAAAGTAGAGGCATTTAAGCAAAGTAAACCAAAGACCTGAAAATACTAAATATGTATAACTGTGCACACTCAAACAAATACTCTATCCTTTGCTTAAAATCAACTTATCCCTTGTCATTAAGGGAAGTGCTTCAATTTTACAACAATTAAAAATATTGGAAAAAAAAAAGAGAGAAGTGCTTCAAGATGCAAACTGCTAAATAATACAGAAGGGGTTAAAAGCCAAGCTTTACCTAATAAAGGAATTACATTATTAAAATAATTGGGCTTGAAATATACATTTACTATAACTTTCCATTCTCATTCTTTTTTTTTTTTAACTAAACATACAAATACACACGACAAACCCTAGCATTTAATATGTGCAAAATTGCTTACCATTTATTTTAACTTTAACTTTGGTTAAGTATTTGTTTAGCCTATATCAGACACATTATGGAAGCTATACAAATGATTACAAACATAATAACGAGGTAAGTTAAAATTCTACTAGTGCAAAAAGCAAGCATATGCCAAAAGCAAAGCATATGAGTTAAGCAAATGCAGAATGAAGCTCTCACCAAGGGATTTGCTGGAATAACAAATGGGAGAAGCTCCTTGTAAACATTGTTTGTAAAGTACATATTTAAGGATTCATACAGCCACAAGAAAAGGTATTCTACCAACATCATAGTAGTGCATTTATTTTACCTTTAGAGTTCAGAATCCACTCTGTGTGTGTCTAACAGTTTGCATATTTTCTTCAAGAGAAACTTAGTAAGACACATTAATTACAAATACTGTAGTATAAAAATCCCAGTTCTTTACAAAAATTATATATTAAAATATTCTATACATTTTAAATTAGTAACTGGAACACACATATATATCAGTCCTGTACAATTAAATCCATCTTTACTGAGAGTATTATACATGAAGTTTGAAGACACAGCTACTCAGTCAACCAAAACTGGCGTAAGGTGATGTGGCATTAAAGGATAGACCTGTGCCCCTGCAGCTACTGCAGCTCTCAGTCTGAACTATCGTTTCTGCAATTATTGCTCTTGTATATTCATTCCAGATTTGAACAGGGAGTGAAACTGTGAAATTCCTAAAGGTTTAAAACACGTTACCACTAGCAGAGTGTTCATAATACCTATCCGTATCTTTAAGGTTGTAATGGAACCTGAGTAAGCTGTCTAATGCTTATATTCAGTTGTAAAAAAGTTCATACAATTTCAAGATAAAAACAATGCAAAAATAAAACATTTGGAGCATTTACAAAATCTTACAAATGTTTAAAACACTATTTCAAAACTTGTGTCCTGTTAAGGTGCTTCTTTCTGCAATAGGACATAGACTTTAATTTTGAATTTTAAATTATGAAAGTTTTAATTTCAGTGAAAGCAAAGTTAGAATGATTTAGATGTTGAAACGTTCAGACTGTACTTCACTTTTCATGAAAATACAGTATTTTAGTGCTGAAAGGGACCTTAAAGGTAAACTCTTTTAACTGCCTCGTTTACTAATGAGGAAACTGAGGGCCAGGGAAGTGAAGTGCTTTGGTCAAAAATATATTATCTATATTGACCTGATAAAAATCGAGAAAATCCGTTATTCTTTTTGTATTTTATCATGATCCTTAGAAAATAATAAAAATTCAAAAGGAGTTTCTGAATTTTTTTTTAATTTCTTAAGCTTCGTGCTAACTGTAAATAAACAAACAAAAAGAATCAAATGGCTCCTAAAATTAGTATCATAAGTATTATCTGATAGAAGACAGTTGTTAGAGGACCACTGCTCATACAGAATAAAGTTAGAGTCCTTAAAGACAGGGTATTTACAATGTAGAGAACATTTACTATAGAAGAGCATAATGTACAATAGCCAATTACTAGAATCATCTCAATAACTCTAGGATGACTGAGTTACATGGCCTTTATAAAAGATATTGGGGGTAATAAAGCTTTCTGGCTTTATATATACTAATATATATACATATATATGTGTGCGTGTGTGTGTATATATATATATACACACTAATTTTCAGAGAGTCTTTGCTTCTTTTCTATTTTTATTTGGATCTAGAATTGAGCAAATACATTTTAAGAACAACTGACAAACTCAAATTCATAACTGCTAGAAATACAATCAGAGAAAACTGTTTTGAATGACAGATCTTCATAACCAGTTACTAATAAATAATCATCATTACAACAGCTTTGGTAAAAAACCAATTCAACTTAAAGGTGCTTTCTTACTGTTACCTTGAAGCCATCGAACTTGGGTAGCTGGTCCATATCCCTTTTCATTCTTTGCTGATATCCTGAACACAATGGCAGGCCTGGATGTGTAATCAATATGTGCATTTGCAAGCTGCCCAGAAGTTACTATACATGATGTCTTAAGACCACAATAAATCCTCATAAATACAAGTTGGCTTGGATTATCTTGTATCTGTGCTGTACGGATAGCCAAGTAGGCTGAATATTCCAAAATATTTCCAGAAGGTGAAGTTGGAGGTTCCCAGGAAAGGTGGATACCTTCAACATTCTTGAAGGAGGAAAAAAAAACAAGTAAAAGGTTCTAAATTTTTCTCTATTATCGCCTATTACGTTGAATCTGTCTTTAGAACACAGAATATTGCTTTTTGCTAAAATATTTGCATTAGATGTTAGATCTTGTATTGCTGATTTTAAAAAAATTAGTTTATTGAATCTGAAATGTTTAATTCATGCTCATTTTTCAAAAACACAACTAAAGCTTAAATTTCTGCCTGTAATATCCCAAAGTACAATAGAGGGTTAACTCAGCAAGCTTGGAGTGCTCACTGTGCAGTAAAGAGTTGACTCAGCAGGCCTGGAGTATTCAATCTTTGCATATAGTAAAGAAAGGACTGGCTCCTGATCATTCCTGGGACATAACCTCTAAGCCCTTGGAATATCCTACCTGATCATAACTCTAGGATAACTAACTTATATGGCCTTTATAAAAGATAGGAATCAAAGACTACAGCCTTCAGTATGAATTACATCTCTACATAAAGATAACAAAACATCCTCACAACTGGACCAGTAAGTAACATCATGATAAACAGAGAAAAGATTAAAGTTGTCAAGGATTTCATTTTACTTGGATTCACAAATCAATGCCCATGGAAGCAGCAATCAAGAAATCAAACGACGTATTGCATTATGCAAATCTGCTGCAAAAGACTGTTTAAAATGTTGAAAAGCAAAGATATCACTTTGAGGACTAAGGTGCGCCTGACTCAAGCCATGGTATTTTCAATTGCCTCATATTCATGTGAAAGCTGGACAATGAATCAGGAAGACTGAAGAAGAACGATGTCTTTGAATTATGGTGTTGGTGAAGAATATTGAATATACCATGGACTGGCAGAAGAATGAACAAATCTGTCTTGGAAGAAGTAAAGCCGGAATGCTCCTTCAAAGTGAGGATGGCAAGACTTTGTCTTATGTACTTTGGACATGTTATCAGGAGGGATCAGTCCCTGGAGAAGGACATCATGCTTGGTAAACTAGAGGATCAGCAAAAAAGAGGAACACCCTCAACAAGGTGAATCGACACAGTGGCGGCAACAACGGGCTCCAACATCACAATGATTGTGAGGAGGGATTGACACAGTGGATGCAACAATGGGCCCAAACATCGCAATGATTGTGAGGAGGGTTAAGGACCAGGCAGTGTTTTGTTCTGTTGTACATAGGGTCACTATGAGTCAGAACCAACTCAATGACATCTAACAACAACAACATAAAAGAGTAATAAATCCTTCTGGCTTTATATACGCTAATATATACACACATGGGGTTATGGGCCACACCAGATAGTTCATGTTAACAGTGTGATTTATGGTGAATGCCTGTGTTTGTTTGCCTGGGTCCCTGGGCCTCATGGTATCGGTTTGATCTCCTTGGTAGGGGCGGGGGGAGGCACTGGATACTGAGTTGATAAGGTCAGTCGCACAGGCACTCCACACCTACATGACTGATCCCCAATAAAAATCCTGGACCTCAAGGCTCAGGTGAACTTCTCTGGTTGGCAATAGTTCGTACACGTGGTCATACACTGTTGCTGGGAGAATTAAGTTCTGTCCGTATGACTCCACTGGGAGAGGACAACTGGAAGCTTACACCTGGTTTCTTTTGGACTCTGCTCTATGCACTTTTTTCCTTTGCTGATTTTAACCTGTATTCTTTCACTGTTAACAAACCGTAGCTGTGAATATAACAGCTTTTTTGAGTTCTGTGAGTTCTTCTAGAAATTCATCAAACCAGAGGGTTGTCTTGGGGACCCTGACACATCCATAAAAGGTTTTCTCCCTCCCTGGAAGCAGACCTTTTCTTTTTTAAGGAGGGGCAGAACCTTAGGATAAAATATAATCCAATATAGTAATCTGTTCTGTTAAGACTCTTCAGCACAAACTTTTTAGTTCTGTAACAACAAGAACAAAGCTAATATTAAGAAACATAACAGATTTCCCTCCCTTTCTGTGATATGGATGCTGTAATTCTGCTTGAAATTTGGTCCTTAAAAATATCGTGAACAATTAGCAAAAAAATATTTTTTAAACTTTTAAACCACCCACTTTTGGATACAACTTTGATTTATTAGATGTTAACAAGAACCTCTAAACTGGCAGTTCTACTTCATCTACAAAGTTTCAAATAATTTAAATCACCAACAAGCCTTGACCTCATGTCCTCACCTTTGAAATTCTGACTGCAGAAGGAGCTCCAGGAAAACCAGGAATACAAGTTTTAAATTCACTGATTTTGCTGAAAGGGCCTATTCCACAACCATTGATTGCAGCAACCCTGAATCTGTATCCTGTGCCTGGAACAAGATCTTGTTTCTTAAGTAAACTGTAGTCAGGCACATCTGCATTTCCTACCTAAAATACAATATATGCAAAAGTTAAGGAAAAGCTGTAATTAATTCACCAAAGAAGATATACAAATGGCCAAAAAGCACACGAAAGGATGGTCAATGTCATTAGTCATTAGGGAGATGCAAATCAAAACCACAGTGAGATACCACTTCACATCCACCAGTATGGCTATTATCAGAAAAATGGAAACAAGTGTTGGGAGGATGTGGAGAAACTGGAATCCTCATGCATTGCTGGTGGTAATGTAAAACGGTACAGCTGCTATGGAAAAGTGTGGCAGTTCCTCCAAAAGTTAAACACAGAATTACCACATGACCTAGTAATTCCACTCCTAGGTATCATATTGGTACGCAAATAACGTGCCACTCCTAGGTATCATATTTTTATGCAAATAAAGCGCATGTCAGATTTTTTTGCCAATCACACCCTCCCCCAGCGAAGTATCTTCCTTAAGCGCACTATATTATATGGCATATATATATATATAAAATGGAATATTATTCAGCCATAAACCATAAAGACAAAGAATGTTCTGATACATGCTACGACATGGATGAACCTTGAAAATATGCTGAGTGAAAAAGTCACACGAAAGGACAATATTGTACGATCCCACTTATATGAAAAATCTAGAATAGGCAAATGCATAGAGACAGAAAGGAGCCGGGGGGAGGGAAGAAAGGGGAGTTATTGCTTAAATGGTACTGAGTTTCTGTATGGGATGATAAAAAACTTCTGGAAATAGATAGTAATAATGGTTGCACAACATGGTGAATGTAATGTCACTGAATTGAATTTAAAATGGTTAAAAACGCAATTTTTTTGTTATATTTATGTAATTCACTACAATAAAAAATAATATTCAGCAGACACTGAATAAATGTTAAACTGAATACAAAATTATATTACATGTAATCTAGGTAGGAATACCATAAGACTTACAACTTTCAAATAATTTTTAAATATTCTCTTTCTCTTACAACGTCCCTATAAGACAGGTAGCACCATGCATCATCCCACTTTAAGGGAGCTAAAACCAAACCCATTACCGCTGAGTCGATTCCAATTCATAAGTCACCTCCATTTTAGAAATGAGGAAAATGAGTCTCAGAGAGGTTATGCAAGTGATTTGCCCAAGGTCACTGCTGAGTGATTTAATTAGTATTCAAACCCAAGTTTACTGGCTCTAAGTTTTATGCTTTTTTTTTTCTTTTGGGAAAAGTCAGGTAGCTACTAGGCCCTTAAACATGGATATTTCTTTATATATTAAGTTGAGCTATAGCCAGAACTTTAATTGCGCATACTGCTAACAAATTATTAACCAATACTTCTATTTTTGTCAACACTTGGAAAAATTCAATATGAAAAAGAGAGACACCAGAAGTAATATTTGAGAAACTAAAATATAATGATAAATGATACATTCTCCATTTTTTTAGACCTTCAGGAAATTCAAAATGAATATCCATGGATATCTTCAGCAATTCCCTCCCTGGAATTTTCCACCCTAGAAAAAAATAAGTCCAATATGCTTTGGATCTGTTATCTATTCCATAATTCTTTAAGGGCTACTCTCTCACATATATGTATGAAGCCCTCTTAAGGGACTTCAGCATCAAGGGAAAATTAGATTGTATTAAACAGAATGCAGAGACTTCTACTAAAATCTTTTAAATTATGAAATCAGAAATAAAAAATATCTCCCAATAAATGATTCCATTATCGAAACATACTGGGTAACAAAATTAGAGATTAAAAAAACAAAGACAAAAAAACCCTCATCTGTACTGGCCAGACTAGACTATACCTCAGAATCCAGCCCAGTGACTGCATAAAATTTAAAAAATTACATGCTTGTGATATGCTCTATAAAAAAGAGTCTTAAAAAAGAATATAAGATAAATAGGTATAAAAAACAAAAACCAAACCTGTTGCCACTGAGTAGATTCCGACTCAGAGCGACCCTATAGGACAGAGTAGAACTACCCTATAGGGTTTCCAAAGAGCACCTGGTGGATTTGAACTGCCGACATTTTGGTTAGCAGCCGAACACTTAACCACTGGTGCCACCTGGGCTCTGATAAATAGATATATAGAGCTCTTAACTATAGACTGTGAACAGATCCCAAATTCATTCATTCAAGTGAGCTGAATAAGGGCTATAAAAAAATCTCATTCTTGAGGCTTATAACTCACAGTGTAAAAAATATATCAATAGCTACCTTTGCGATGCTTTGCTTCCCTTTTGGCAGCAAATAAAACTGGCTCACCAAAGCTGTGTTATTTTTAAAAATTCCCACATCACACCACTGTTGTTCTCCTGCTTTCATTGTGGCCACTGGATTTGAAGGAGTCTCCTTCTAATTTCAGAGAAAGAGAAGTTTTATGAAGATTCTTATTTAGCATATACAAAATTTCAAGAGCTAATAAATCCATGCAGTGATCTATAAGTGGGTATATCGGTAAACACCACAACATTAATAATAGTTCCTAAGTAAATAAAGTCTTAAGAGATTAGGTCAACTGACAGGGGAACAGGGATGCTAATTCAAACATAGGGAGTGACAGGCATTCTCCAAGCCAACAGCTCTGTACTACCAACCTAGCTGGAGTTAGCATGCTCTCAAATCAGTGGTATGTTAAATGCCAGCTGTTTTATAGAACATTGTCACTTCAGAGACTCTCTCAGAAAACATAATCCAATTTGGTATGACATTACAACTTGCTCCAAAAGAGCAAATAAAGAAAAATTCATTCCAAGCTGGCTCATTTCTAGATTCAAAAACAGCTAGCAGAAATTCAGTGATCTTTGCACTTGAAATACCTGTGATTCTCCAAACCTAAAAGGAGAAAAAATGTTCAAAACTAAAATGCAATTTGAATATACTTTTAGTATCTAAATTCACTAAAGAGGAACAGATTATACAGTTTAACAATTTCTACCCTGCTTTAAAACAAACAAACTTCCTCTACCTTAAGCTACTTTTAGTGATAAGTGAATTATACTTATCCCTGGAACTAACCTTTTTAAGCCATCTTCTTTATAAATGAGACACTGTTTCCAGAAGCTCAAAACAAATGTGCACTTCAGTTATTTATTTCTGTCTTAAATATATAACAGCAGAGGTACATGCTTATAATTCACATTATTTATTATTTAGGCTATCACACATGACAAAGTGAGCTAACTAGAAGTCTTTAAGGATTAAAAAAAGTGCTTTAAAACTTGTTTTCATTTTTTAAGGCTGTAAAAACTCTCTTCAACAACTTTTATAAAACAACTGGCTCCTACTGAAATAACAAATACCATTCTAGCTGATGCATTGCAAAACACATGTTAAGAGAAAAAGTTCATTTTAATAATCCTTCCCTGAGAAGACTCTATGAACACTAACTAGGTCTTAACATTCTGGAAAGGTGAAAGCTGATGAAGGTAAAATATGATCAAAATCCATAAAATCATGATTGAAAGAAAACTAAAATTACACATAACTCTTAAAGATTCTAAAAGGTAAATATTAGGTCAAATAAAAATTCTTGCACATAGTAATAAGGATGAAATGGCTGAAATAAAAAAAGAATTCTTAAAAAGTATGTATTATCCTCATACTTATCTAATTAAGACAATCTTGGTATATTTGTGAGGCACATTTCTAGCATTTTAAGTTTGGTGCCATGCAGACCAATTCTGGCCTTTCAAAAAACAACTCTTGGTGCTAGTGTCAGAGACTACTCCGCTACACTACATGTACGTCTAACCCAATATTACAATATTCTCTGGTGCTCCTATTAAGCAGCTGGCAATAGAGCCACCCAAGTTTTATGTCCCACAACATATCCTATTGTTTACTCTTTAAACCATGAATGTAACATATGTAATATTTTATACATATACACATACATGCACGCACACGTGCACACAAAGACACGTATATTTCTAATTATAAAAGTAACACATTTTCAGTATAGAAAAATACAGAAACCATAAATGAGACAGTAAAAGTTATCTGTGGCCCCACTACCTGCATAGAGTCATCTGACGTTCTGGGGTGGATGTGTGTGGGCCCTTGTGAGAGTGAGAGTGCGTGTATCGTATATACTTTTCAACAAAATTGGGACCACAGTATATATATTATTTTTATCCAGCTTTTTTCACTTAATATTATATTGTGAAGATTTTCCAATTCAACCATTCAATTCTAAATTTATGCCAATTCATTACTAAAATGGGACCTAAGACCGTTTAACGAATTTATTTAGAAGTTGCTTAGCATTTGAAAACATACTCATATGTACACATGCATCATCACCAGGTCAGGTACTTACAGAAAACGGAATTGTTGCCGCAGCGTGGGTCTCCACACGGCTGATCTTAGTTGCAGGCAGTGCACATGTTTCATCAACTACAAATAAAACAAATCAATAAATCAGACTTACACAATCACTTATCAAACAGACACATTAAAATATAATTCATAAATACACAAAAATAACCAGAGGAGAAAAATCACAATAATTAGAAATATGGAACCCTTAACTTGAACTAATTCAACAAGTTCGTTTTTCAAGGGTTTGATGACTAAGCTAGAATTTCTGAGAATGTTTACCAAAGATGAAACATAATTCCTATTACAAAAGAATAAAATGAAAATTTACAAAGTTATAAAGTAATTAAGCTGGGAGGATTGTTAATCCATAATCTACAACTAATTTTTTCTAAGAAAAAAAATTTGAATCTACTCACGTGTTAATCGAAATATTTTATGTAAGGCAGCAGAGAACACATCATATAGTGATTTTAACTGAAATGCTTTACCTGCTTATATATAATTCAATCTAAGACAAAATACAATTCCCACCTAAGACAAATAAGTTGATGAACTTCTATACATAAATGGCTCAAAATACAGTATGTGAAACACATTTCAAACCTTCAGATTTGGTACTGAATGTTGTTAGTGAAGTTTCATCTTTAACAACTGCCCCATTTGTACTGGATGATTCAGTTTTAATGCTCTGCTGGGTTACCATAGTTTGTGAGCTGGAAACAGTACTGGATACAGAAGTTTCAGGGATTACTGTTCTTAAGTCCAGGCAACTACTTAGAACACCTACATTTGCTGAAGTGTGAGGACCTACAATTAAAGGGAAAGGAGCAATTATTAATATAATACCTACAGATAACAGTTGTGTCTTACAGTTCTTGTCATATAATTCTTGGCACTTTCAGTTTTAAAATCATAAACATGAGTATGTCAATTGGCATTCATATAAATTAACCATTATGTTAATCCAAGAAACTGGACTATATGAAGTAGAACAGGGCATCAGGATGGGGAAGACTCATTAACAACCTGTGTTATGCAGATGACATAACTTTGCTTGCTGAAAGTGAAGAGGACTTGAAGCACTTACTGATGGAGATCAAAGACCACAGCCTTCAGTATGGACTATCCCTCAACATAAAGAAAACAAAAATGCTCACAACTGCACCAATAAGCAACATCATGATAAATGGAGAAAAGATTGAAGCTTCAAGGATTTCATTTTACTTGGATCCACAATCAATGCCCATGAAGCAGCAGTCAAGAAAACAAAAGACACATTGCACTGGGCAAATCTGCTGCAAAAGACCTCTGTAAGTGTTGAAAAGCAAACACGTCATATTGAGGACTAAGGTGTGCCTGACTCAAGCCACACTGTTTTCAGTTGCCTCATATGCATGTGAAAGCTGGATGATGAATAAGGAAGACAGAAGAACTGACACCTTTGAATTGTGGTGTTAGCGAAGAATACTGAATATACCATGGCCTGCCAAAAGAACGAACAAATCTGTCTTGGAAGAAGTACAACTAGAATGCTGCTTAGAAGCAAGGATGGCGAGACTATGTCTCACATACTTTGGACATGTTATTAGGAGGAATCAGTTCCTGGAGAAGGACATCATGCTTGGTAAAGTAGAGGGTCAGCGAAAAAGAGGAAGACCCTCAACGAGATGGACTGACATAGTGGCTGCAACAATGGGCTCAAGCATAACAATTGTGAGGATGACGCAGGACCAAGCAGTGGTTCATTCTGTTGTACACAGGGTCGCTATGAGTTGGAACCAACTCAAGCACACCTAATAACAATAACAATTATGAATAAAATCTTTTAAAACATAAAGTATATTACATCCATAAAGGATATCCAATATCTAAGCTCCCTCTTCCATTCTAAACATTGAACCACTGTTCTCAAACTCCATTACTAAATTATAGATTTAAGAACTGTCAGCAAATGGCCTTGCCTCTTATTTTAGAAGAAAAAACTGAGATCATCAAGCATGAATTCTCTCAACTTTGTCTACCTCCACCCCAAACTAGAAAATATTTATGATAGTGCCTATCCTGTCTTTTCTGTTTCAGAGGATGAGCTGACCTCCCTCCCCCATATTTTGTGACTCTCTTTCATCAATCATTCCTCTCTCACCAAGGTTTTCAGACTCTTCTTCCTTAGCAGTGTCTCACTCTTGGTCCATAAATATAATCAAGTCTTTCAAGCAAACACACCTCTTTCTTGATCCCACAAATACCCTCCAGTTACTATCTCCCCTCACGAATTCCCTTCATAACACTTCTACTTCCCTGAGCTCCCCAAAATTTGGTTTCTAGCACACTACTCTAATGAAAAGACTCTAGCAAAGGTCAGTGATTTCCAAGGGATACTTTTCAATTTTCATTTACCTGACCTTTCTGCAATATGAACAATGCTGGCCATATATTCTTTCTGAAGCTGTTTCTTCTATGATTTACATTCATTCATTCTACCATATTGAGGGTTTACTATGTATCAGAAGGAGCTCTGGTGGTGAAGTGGTTAAGTGCTTGGCTGTTAACCGAAAGGCTGGTGGTTTGAATCCACCAGCCACTCCATGGAAGAACGATGTGGCAGTCTGCTCCCGTAAAGACTTCAGCCTTGGAAACCCTATGAGGCTGTTCTACTCTGTCATATATGGCCACTATCAGTCGGAATAGACTCTATGGCAACAGGCTGACTATCTACCAGACACACTGTTCTTGTTTCTATAATGGTGAAACAAAGCAAGCATGGTTCTTGCCTCGTAGAATTTATAGTGGTAGAAAGAAACAAGCATACACAATTAAAAATGTATAGTCACAAACTGTGATTCCCACTATAAAGGGAAAAAATACAATACCACTCTTATTTGGTTCCCTTTCGAACCCTCTAAAAGCTTCTCAATCTCTTTAGCTGGCTTCTCTTCTTGGAATGACTCTTTAAATGTTAGTTTCTTAAACCTCTTCTTTTTTGTTCTACGATTTCTCCTATCCATTCACGGACTCGCTCATTTTTCAAATATATATGTCACAGGTACTGTGCCAAGTACTGGGAATATAGCAGTGAACAAGACAGACAAGTTCCTTGTTCTTGTGGAGCTTACATTTTAGGTACTCTTAACTTCTAAATTTCTATTTCCAGTCCAGGACTGCCTCCTAGGCTCCATACCTAGGTATCCAGCTGCCTATCCAAAACTTCCTCAAGTGCGTGAAAAACAGGAAGTTCAAAGTTGAACCTATCTTTTCCCCAAATCTGTCCTTGTTCCTACATTTCTTATCTTGATTAAGGGTATAATTATCCATCCAGATGTCCAACCCAAAAAACTGGGAGTCATGTTCAACTCATTTTCATTTCTCACATCCAACCAATCGCCAAGTCTAATAAATGCTACTTTCTAAGTCTCTTCAACGTCGTATTCTCTCTCAATCTCATCCATTGCTTTAGTCAGTCTGTATATGCATCTCCTGGAGTCCTAAAAAAAACCTCTAACAAGTCTCCCAATCATTTCCTACTTGAGTTCCCCCTGATGCTGAGTGTTCTTTTAAAAAAAAAAAAAATTAATCATGTCACTTTCCTACTTTTTAAAACAGACCCTTCAACAGTTACCCCAACCTGCAGAGAAAACAGCCAATCTCCTCCTGTTAAACTGAGATCGGGCAGACATTCATTCAAACATTTGACTGCCTAAGACGTGTCAGGCACTGTTACTGTAACCACTCTGATTTCCACACTTGCTTAGTATTAATCTTATTCAAACTGCCTTACTATGTAGGATTTAGAATACATTAAGAGTCTGAAACCTCAAAGTTCTTCTGTACTTCTTTTCAAGAGTATAAACTTCTTTGTAAGATAAACATACAGAAAATCACTATAGTAAAGAAAGTTAAATTGAGATTCAGGCAGGACCAAGCTTTTATAATTATGACCAAATGATTTCCTTGTATCAGAAAGTCAACAAAAGAGCTCTCCTCTTCTACAAGTAAACAAATGAGAAAAATTACAGGAAATTATTTTCCTCAGATATTTTTATCTACCATGGACTCATAAAGGGAAATGGAAATAAAAAGAATATTCATCTTGATAAGTTTGAAATATTGAAGAGGAATTAGATTTATGATCAGCTGTCATGATTTTTTCAGATTAAAAATGAAGTCACATGTATCTATATCAGGTATATATCAGAAGGAGATGTATAAAATAATTTTTGAAACTGAAATCAGAGGCAATGCTTATATATCTGAAAAGGCAGCAGAATATCTGAATAAACTTATTTTAAATATAAGCATTACCATATCACAACTTGTTTCATCAATGCAACAGACCAATCAATGGTTCTCATAAATGAACTTTTTTCTATCTTTTTGAGGCTAAACCAGTTACTTGCTAAACAAATATTTACATAGTGACCACTACTTACCAGGCACAGTTCTTGGTATTAAGAAAATAGTGGTGAACAAACCAGACAAGATCCCTGCCCCAAATAAATAATTTCAGGCCGTTAAAAGCACTATGAAAATAAAACTCAGTAATGGAATAGTGACACTAGCCATCAGCAAATGTCATATAAGAACTCTGCCTCATTTAAATCTCATAGCTTCCTTTCAGCCAAAGATTCACCTGTCGCTATCGAGTTGATTCCAACTCATAGCGACCCTATAGGACAGAGCAGAAATGCCCCACAGAGTTTCCAAGGAGCGCCTGGTGGATTCAAACTGCTGACCTTTTGGTTAGCAGTCATAGCTCTTAACCACTACACCACCAGGGTCTCCAGCCAAAAATTAGACAGGCCTATAAAACAAACAATAACACAAGTGAGGAACATGCTTCTTAGTTCAATCAAGTATATGAGACCAACTGGGCAACACTTGCCCAAAAGCAACAACAAGAAGGCAAGAAAGGACAGGAAAACTGTATGAATGGACACTGAGAACCCATGGTGGAAAGCGAAAGGGTGAGAGTGCTGACACATTAAGGGGACTGCAACAAAAGTCACAAAATAATGTGTATAAAATTTCTGAATGAAAACTTAATTTGTGCTGTAAACTTTCACCTAAGACAAAATAAAATTAAAATAAATAAATAAATCCTATAGCTCATAACTAATTCATTACTACTCAAGTTAAGTGCTTACTTGGTATTTTGACATCACTCTAACTAGGTTCAATATAGTAGCTATTTTGCTTATTAGGAAAATGGATCAAAACCATGTAACAATTACTTTTTCAAAGACTCTAAAATTTCCTACCAATACTTAAAAAAGCTTTAATTTTACTTAAAATACCATCATTATACCTTCATTTTTCCTTAAGATATCCACCATACAACTATTATGATTAGAAGCATTAGTTGCCAAAGAGGAAAGCAAAATGGCATTAGAATCAGTTGATGCTTTGATATCTGGGTTGTTTTTCACTGAAGTTCCTTTGACAGCTATACGTTCAGTTTTTGCACTGTTTACTGTACCATCGATCTGTAAGAAAGAAAATAGGTTATTGTAGCAAGCTATGTTCAATATATGACAAACAAGCATTAAGTCTTAATACTTAAATGCTTTTGAAAATAAAAGTTTACAAAATGTAAAACACATTAAAATTATATTCTTAATTTCTATAGGATTATTCTTTAAGTTTTACAACAGTTTAAGAAAATGATTTCTTTTTACTTAATCTCCACCTTCAAAAGGCCAGTTTTGAAAGGAAAAGAGAGGTCATATTTTAAGGAAAAAAAATCTGTATTTTTATGTGTAGCTAGTATTACAAGTAAGCACTTATGTAACATAAGAGACAGCACCAACACTACTGAGTTTAATTTTCTGGTCAAATTTTCTTAACAAAGGTCAGATACGTATATTAAAGAAAAAAAATTTTTTTAAATCTCAGTTATATGGAAATCTCAGGCGAATGAATTATTCTGTTTGACTGAGTTTTCCATACAGATATAAATATCTGATACATATACATATCAATATTCTTCACCATTAAACATTTTGAATAGGAATCTTCCTAATAATATCCTTCTTTTTCTTGAATACACTATAATGAACACATTTAAATTTTTTATAATTCATCAATGCGAGCATCTGTTATTATATAGTAATACCTACAGGTAAACTGAACCATAAAAGTGATCTGGCTTCATTCAAATACCCCAATACGCTGCCCCTTTTTAGTTACTTGCTTTTATTACTTTTCTGTCTCCACCTTTATTAACTATTGTTAATTATTATAGTTTCTCAATTTAAAAAAAAAAGTGAAGAGGACTTGAAGCACTTACTAATGAAGATCAAAAACTACACCCTTCAGTATGGATTATCCCTCAACATAAAGAAAACAAAAGTCCTCACAACTGGACCAATAAGCAACACCATGATAAACAGAGAAAAGACTGAGGTTTCAAAGATTTCATTGTACTTGGATCCACAATCAACACACACGGAAGCAGCAGTCAAGAAATCATACAACACATTGCACTGGGCAAATCTACTGCAAAAGTCCTCTTTAAAGTGTTAAAAAGCAAAGATTTCACTAAGGTGCACCTGATCCAAGCCATGGCATTTTCAATCGCCTCATATGCATGTGAAAGCTGGACAATGAATAAGGAGGACTGAAGAATTGATGGCTTTGAATTATGGTGTTGGCGAAGAATACTGAATATACCATGGACTGCCAGAAGAACGAACAAATTTGTCTTGGAAGAAGTACAGCCAGAATGCTCCTTAGAAGTAAAGATGGCAA